AGACACAGGTACCGACTAGGGCAGAGATGGGATTTCACCTATGGATAAAATTGTCTAGCTTAACTCTCAGTAAATATTAAAATAGAATAAAAAGTAAAATAAATGGAATAAACGGCCGAAGATATTTGCAGACCGCTGAATAATAATAATCTGTCTACTTTAACTAGTTTAAGGCTCTGTCATTGTCTCACCAGACAACCGACGACCACCGTCTATATGGAGGATGAGAGAAGCATATGGCGGGAATGTACCATTCACTCTTTGAAAGTCGGAGGACTGAGAGCAAATTGATTCTATTCGAAATGAAGCGTCCAAACTTAGCAGATATCTATAAAGAGAGACGGAATAATATTGAATGGTCTGTTCGCATGCATAATTTCTGTATTCTTGTGTCGGAGAAGACCCAAACTAAATCAGTTTAACTCCGCCATCGTCTTGTCTCTAGGGCTTTTAGTCGTTCCTGTTACCTCGTTTAGTTTAGATTAATGCCTTTTACCCTTCCTACCTATGGATCCAGCTTATTATTATGCTTCGAACCAGGGCTGTAGACTAGATTGGGTACCAGAAAGCAGGAGCACACTTGCATACATTAGCCACTCAAAACGACGATCCAAACATCGGATGCGGGGCACAGCAAACCAGTCTGGTCCAAGAGATCCTGATCATCAAGAATGACCTTATAGCATGCTGAAGGGGACTCTTAAGCAGAGGTCACAGGTCACAATTCAGATATCTTCATGATGGCTTCAGTGATCTCTTATTTTCATGGATTACTGGTACAATACAAGGTACATACTGGATGTCTTAGGTATATGTTGCTGCATAACCCTCTCAAATTTGAATCGCATGTTCCACCCAGCTTGGTGGGCAGTACTGTATACTTTTCTGCAGTGGCTGGTTGAGTTGTAAACTTGTAATTCGTAAGAGCCAAAAGCCTAGGGACGTGCTTAGATCTGTAGGCCATTGATGGTCCAGAGGCTTGAGGATCGCTGTATTAGCAATTGGAGTTGGACGCGACAACGCAGCAAAGGCCTGTAGTCAGTGCGGATCCTTAATCTCTCTAAGATCCTAGCAGGCTAGCACAGACAAAATGACGGTGGTCATAATGCGTGGACGTTGGGGATGTTCGCACATGATGTCACTTGCTATGAATATGCATGTAGTCGTAGTAATGCATTGAGTGGTACTCGTGAATCAAGTATCAAATGTTTGGGTATAGTGCTTTAAGAATTGTCCTTTAGACTCAGAAAGACTATTTAATTAGAGTCATGAGTCCTCACACTCATCATAGCAGTCCATAAAGACCCCTTCAGATAATGAAGATTGACACTTGGCCAACTTCCAACTCGAGACATGCAAAAAGGTTAGATTGTGGTACCTATTAATCAGCTCCAGGTACTTCGTACAGTGACCATAATTACACACTGCGTATTGTGATACAGGTACGTGTGTATTGTAAGTACGGCATACGCTGGCTGACCATACAATACCAGAACATGGAAGACATGGAAGCTTCTCCCTTTCGGCCGTCAGGTACCATGAAGCTCTAAACGTCTATGCTGTGGAATGACGGAACAGGATCGGAGGGATGGAAAAGCGCAAAATCTAATATGTTCACATTTCGTAGCCAGATGCTACATATCCGATGCAAGGACAAAGTCTCGCTTGCTGAGACACCTACAGTGGCGAAAATAACATCAGGTAGAGTCGAAAGTCACCTTTAAGCCTCCTGCACCACATTCAAGAATCCAGTAGAAATGACAAGGATGATTTGGTCCTTACATGTGCAGCGACAGGGCTTTAGCCTCTTCTAGAAGCGTCATGAACGCTCTTGGGCTGGACTGTACTTGCATGGGTTGCTTCTTCATCCTCCCGCCAGTCCAAAGGTCATCCCAAAGTCATGCTTGGCAAATGAACATGCAGTCGGATTCTGAGTTCTGCATCTCGAATAACTCTTCATAGAGCACCTATCTACGTATCAGGCTGGGTAACTCAAGTATCTTACTCTTCATGACATCGCTTGTGAGCAAAGTGGTCTTGAGGATGGATACCTAAGGCTGCTTCATCGAGGCTCCATTCCGGTACTAGATTATACCAGTTGACTGGCCGTATGGGGAGTAGTGAGCAATCCATTTTCTCTAATCTACTAGACATCAACAACGACAACAGGGACAACAACGCATCATCTCAGTCCGTTCTCCATTCTATGGTCAACCGTCATCGTCGGATCCAAGTACAGAGTGACCAGCTCATCGTTGTTAGTTCCTCCTCGTGGCTCTCTTTTTGCCGACTCCGAACTCCAATACTCATTATTTCTTCCCTTCCCGCCTTGAGCGCTGGCAATAATATAACTGATCCGCTACTTCCATCGCCATCTTTTCTCTGAACGATCCGATTGAACTATTATTCGCCCTACATATCACCTCAACATGGAAGAAGACGACTCCGTGGAGACTCTGGATCCCGTCGTTGACGCCGAACGCGCGAGGCAGCTGTCACTCTTCCGACCTCTAGGTAAGGAGCCAGTCAGAGTAATGTGCCTTTCCCCGTGCCCCCATCACTGGTCGTGATCTATCCGCTTCATCTTGCCCTGCCCCTCCCTCGATGGTTTCTATTGTATTTGCCCCTCATCCGCCGCGCCATTGCTCTCTGTATGTGTTCTTGGCTTCCATATTCTAGCCTTCTGAAGCTTTTGGATCTGGATAATTTTCCCTGATTGAGCACACACCGCTTGGAGCGCTTTGCTTTTCGTCCTCCGCTTCATGCTTACTATGACTGTCCGTATAACTAACAATATCCGCATACAGGATACCAGCGCAACTCATGTGGTTACTGCAAATCTGACAATGGAAGTGAGTGTGTCTTTTTGATCACCTGCCCCACTTCCTCTCACCTACCATCATTCTCTTAGCTCTGCTTCGATGCCTTGGCTGATCAGTATATGCAGGTGCTGCCTACTACACTAGTTCTGTTTCAGTACGCCCGGAACATTACGATATCCTCGTCAATCGCGGCTGGAGAAGGTTGTACTCGCTCATCTGCATGCAGTCAACATGCAATCACCTTCACAGCGCATTGCTAACCTTCGTCTAGATCTGGAACGCTCTACTATAAGCAGAATCTGCCAAGGTCATGTTGTCCGCACTATACGATAAGGTGCATACCCCGTTCTTTTCTCTAGTTTTGTGGCATTGGACGCTGGACTGAAATTGATGCAACTCTAGACTTGAAGCATCCGCTTTCAAACCCCGAAAGGATCAACGCCAGGCTGTCAACCGCTGGAACAAATTCGTTCTGGGTCCCGAATACATCCGTAGGGCAGCCTATTTGTGCCCCAAAACGAGGGAGTGAGTATTTCGTAGTTTTCCATGAACGCTGCCGGTATCATGCACGCATAAACTTACACTTTATTCTCTGTTCAGAGAAAAGAAACATCGGAAATGCAATTTCGATCTGCTTACTGCGGTTCATGAGGCCGAGTACAGCAATGTCAAGCGGCCCATTGATCCAAAGACGAAGAAACTGCTGGAGCCGGCCCATCGATTTGAGGTCAACATAGAGGGAGACTCTATTTCCCAGGCAAAGTAAGTATTGATTGAGCCCTGGTATTATTTCGTATGCTAACCGAGTCCCGAGGTTCGATCTTTTCGTCAAATATCAGACCAAAATCCACAAAGAAGACGTATCCAAATGGAAACAGAAGGATTTCAAGCGTTTTCTGTGCTCAGGCATCAAAAGGTCGCCCGCAGAAGCTAAGTCTGCGGAACGAAAATTAGGGTCATGGCATCAATGCTACCGGCTTGACGGGAAGCTCATAGCGGTTGCTGTTTTGGACTTGATGCCAAGTGGTGTGAGCTCTGTCTACATCTTGTGAGTTTAACGCCATGGCCTGTCTCTGAGCCTGTAGCTAAGTACTCTAGCTATGATCCGGACTATGAGCAGTGGGAGTTTGGCAAGCTCAGCGCCATGAGGGAGGTCGCTCTTGCGCTGGAGGGGTCTTATCAATACTACTATATGGGTAGGTGACTCTGGTTTTGGAGTGGAGAGAGGAGTATATGTTGATGACGACTCCAGGGTACTACATCCACACATGTCAGAAGATGCGCTACAAAGGCGCGTTTCGGCCGCAATACGTCCTCGGTAAGGATGACATGGGCTCTAGTAAGAACGAAAAGCTAATTAGATCCCAGACCCCGAGAGCTACACCTGGGACCCGCTTGACGGGGAGCTAACGAAGAAGCTGGACGAGCGGCGCTACGTGTCTCTGTCCCGCGACAGACGATTGGCCGCGCAGGGTCAGCCAGAGTCCACGGAGCTCGAACCGGCGGAGGAAGAGATCAACGACGAGGAGATGTCTCTGTTTGACCTGCACATGCCCGGAGTCATGACTCTCGATGAGGTAAAGACGCTAGATCTGGACCACTCGCTCCTCCTCGTGCAGGGCTCGCTTGTTCATATGATGGTGAGACGCTCCTATTGCTGGAGCATCCAAGCTGGCCTGCTAACATGGCTGGACTCTAGGATCTTGTAGGCTGGGAACGGATGCCTATCGATAACCCCCAGTCCGTCAAAGGCATTGTCGCCGAACTTGCCGCTGTGTTGGGCAAGGAAGTTTTCAAGGATTGTGCGGTGGTCCTGTTCGATTGAATAGCCCTGGATTTATATTTACAGTGCGACATGCGCACTTTCTAGTCTTCAAGTAATAATACTAGGATAATCTACGTAGAAAGGAGCAATGCAGTGGTTTCGACCAATTCGTACGTATGACAATATGTGTACTAGCTCAGAGTCTCGTGTCAGAGTAAACATATAGAGCAAAGTGCGGGTTCATAAACAATGCTTGTAGAAATCAAACCCCGACCGAGACGCCTTCCATGATGATACAGTCACTGAAAACCGAAATGCTGCCATAGCAACACAAAATACCCCATGCATGCCAATATCATTATCAGGAACAAAGACACCCAAATGCATCGAGAAGAAAGACCGATGAAAAGCAATCAATGCATCAACTCAACTGGCGGGCGCGCCGTCTTCGGCGGCAGCTTTTTAACCGACATGTCAATCGGACTCATCATCTCGACATCCTCATTGTCGGCCTCGACGGTCGTATCCTCGACCATCACGGCCGGTAAACCGGGACTACCACCATGATCCTCGGGATTGTAGATCAGCGTACTACTCCGACTCCGCTGCGCTGACATGGCGACGGGCCAGCTCCCCGTCCGCTTCTCGTCGGACATCGACATGGGCGTCCCGGGGTCAACGGGCCCAGAGACCGGAGCAGATTGTTCCGTCTTGAGCTGCGCAAGCGCCTGGGCGAGATCACTGGCGTGGACCTCCTTGTTGGGGGGTTCCTCGGTGCGCATGACCCAGCCGTGTGGCGGGCTCGGGGGCGGACTGATGAAGAAGAGCTTGTCGAGATGCGGGGCCTCGAGGAGTTTGGGGCGGCCCTCGTCGAGGAGCGGGGTCGGTTCGCCGAAGTAGATCTTTGTGCGGACCTTGCGGCGGTTGAGGAGGGACTGGCCGTCGAGAAGTTTGCGGACGCGGAGGGCGTCGTCTTCTGAGTGGAAGGAGCAGACGATGCGGCGCATGGAGGGGAGCGGGGAGAAGGAGTTTAGGGGGGCGACGGACTCGATCTGGGAGCGGATGGAGGCGAGGGAGGCCGGTTGGAAGAGGTAGAGGTCGTGGAGGTCGGTTATTAGGAGGGTGTTTGAGGGGGGAGTTGGCTGTGAGAGAGCAGGGAGATTGGAGAGGTCGAGTGAGAGAGCTGGGCGCAATGAAGAGGAGTGGGAGGCGCGGTGGGCGCGGAATGAGGGCGATTGAGGGAGGGAGTGTGGTGGTGATGTTGTTGTGATGTCCGCCATGATTGTTTTTGTTTCTTTGTTTCTGCAATCTGAATTGGTTGATGCAGAGGTGCGAGGATGTTGAGTTGTTTAGATGTAGTAGATGGCGGATGGATAAGCAATTTTTTTATATGACGGATGCTTGCCACCGAGTTCAGGCCGCAAATGGCGACTGATGGAGGGTTCAGGGGAAGAGAAAACCTTGATCGGGAGAAAACTTGATGAGATTGTTCGTGTCTTTTGAAGTTGATGAGGAATGGCAAAATACTACTCAACGTTCCGTTCCCAGCCTTTTAAAAAGAGAAACGGGTCAACCCCCCCAAGAGTTGTTGTGAGGCGCAGCCAGACACACATGAGTGTATCGCCATGGCCTTCGGATGCGGCCTCCCCTGGGCTCCGCTATGGGGGCTTTGACTTGCCTCGTTCCTCGTAATCACAGAGAGACAATAATTCTAGCTTGACTAGGGATCTACTGAATATCTACCTTGCTTTGCATTTCTTTTTTGGTTCCTGAAGATCCATCCAGCATTACTGTCGTATAAACATCCACTTCCTATTTGGGATAATATCTCGCTGGTTCGTTAGGTGCGGCTTTTGCCACGCCAATAATTAATTCCACAAGTGGACTTCTCCGTGTGGCTTGTACTTCCTTTGCTCGGCGTTGCCTAGTATCTACACTTGCAGAGAGCAATCGTGGATGTAACGATTGCCACTAGTTACTTAGAGTCTTCGTCGACTTATCCTACTGTGATATCGAATCGGCTGAATGTTTCCGATGCCTAAGGGAAGAAGATTACAACCCCTATGCCAAAGCTAGCAGGTTCTCACTTGACTACAACCAACATTCATAGTAACCATATCATTTAACGTTCCAGCCTTTGCCATTATTATAGATTCTATGAATTAGAGCTCGGAATTATGAATACCTTTCTACTGACCAGATCATTAGGCGGGTCTTCTCCGCGTTGCTTCAGTAGTGATTTCTGGGTCAAGACGAAGTATATGGGTCTGCTCCGCTGCTCCGCCCCTTCAGTGGATGTGACAGTTGAAAACACAGCAGTATGCCAGTAACTGCCCAGAGGTCGGTAGTTCTTCGCTCATGTGGCTTTGACAGATGATGGACCGACAGATGCACATATCTCTGATCAATTTGGCTTGATGCAGGCTCGTAGGACGCAAGTGGCTGGTCACCACTCTCCTGGATACCTCTTCCTCCCATAGCCCCGGAATCTCACGGTACTTGGCATGATGACATTCCTCTTGATGAACGGGCATGATCATGCCGAGGAACTCTAATTTCACTATCTGATCTAACATGGTCTAATATTCTGCTCTTGATGATGTCTGTTGGAATGTCCGTCAGTCACCTGGACCATCCCTATGCTCAGCCCTCGTCACCAAGGCTCTACATCTTAACGAGGCTCGCAATGCCTTCGGGTCTTCCATTATGATGATTCTTACTCTCAAAATCAAATAGATGAATTCGTCTGCCTACTTTCACCAAAAAGCAGTGCTGCTTGGCAGACACCGATTTTGGCTTAGTCCGGACGTGTGTCTTCGGGACGGCGGAAGTTGTATGGCATAGCCACGACTACAAGAGTATAGACTGCGGAATGCGGACTGCTGGCCGCAAAGGATGCAGCTTGGTTCTGATATTTACACTTCGGGTTCCGCACACTAACTTCTTGCACAAACGCCTTGCTAAACTCAAAGAAGCCAAAAAGTCGCATGCAATGCTGCCTGGTTGGACAGCATCATCTAGAGCGTCTGGACAGCTCTGAATCGATCCGCAGTGGCACGCTTTGTCGCCTCAGTGTGCGGAGCATAGACCTCAAAGGCATGAGGTAGGCCAGGGTATACGTGTAGTTCTACACTGATGTTGGCGGATGCTATTCTGGCCGCGTAGGCAATATCTTCATCTCGAAAGATATCCAGTTCGCCGACGTCAATGTACGTGGGCGGGAGGCCTTGCACGCTCACTGCGCGCGCGGGCGCAGCATACTGTGAGACATTGTCCTTGCCAATGTCGGTCCCAAGAAGCGCAGTCCAGGCAGTGATGTTATCATTACAGTCCCACAGCGCGAAACGTTCCAGTTCAGGATTTGGCACCGTGTTCCGGTCATCCAGCATGGGATAAATGAGTATCTGCTTGGCGATCGGAGGCGCCAATGCTCGATCGCGGGCCATCAGGGTGATTCCCGCCGCCAGCAGTCCCCCCGCGCTCTCGCCCATAGTGGCTATGCGGCTGCGGTCCACGGAAAACTCCTCCGCATGTTCGTACAGCCAGGTGAGCCCAGCGTAACAATCCTCCACTGGCGTCGGATGAGGGTTCTCAGGCGCCAATCGGTAGTCTACCGAGAACACCTGAACCCCCGTCTGTTGGACTTGGATGGAAAGAGGCTTGACGAACAAGGCAACATCGCCTTGTATAGTACCGCCTCCATGGGTGTGTAGCACGGCTGGACCAGCAGCTGCTGGAGTCGACGTCTTCTTGAAGAAACGATGTACTTGGATGGTGTGCCCGTCGTACGATTTCACAGGGTAAATGCTATGTTCCACATCGGGTGCCAGAGGCAGCTTGTCAAACATGGCTTCGTAGTTGGCTGTGATGTTTCTTCTCCGGGTGGCAACATCGTGAACTGCAGCTTTGGGGCCTGATCTAGTCGAGAAGAACTCGACTGTGGCCTTGTGATATTCCGGATCGTAGCTAAGAGGCATTTCGGCAGTGTGTGTTTTCGGGGCGTCTCAATTGACGGCTATGGATTAATCCACCATTTCTTGAGTCGCATTGAGGGCTTTGGATTTATGAAGCATTGCTCGAGGCAATGTGGGGTATTTCGAAGGTAGTATATTCATGATTGACCAACAAGAAGTCATGATAAGTTCCAAATTTGTGCTGAAAAGGGTATGGATAATCGCCCTCATAGGGTTGGTACACGAAAGCTGTCTGATACTGGCCATCACCCCGCGTAGCTACTCTGGTAGTCACTATCCGCAGTTGATATTCGCTACAATTAGCTTAAATGTCCTTCTGGGTTGTCGTGGCATGCGAGACTGGCTCTCCAAGGATATACAGAGTACGATGGCTGGAGCCATGCGGTTGACGAAGAAGCCAGACTGGACACTTTGTATATTAGCAATATAACATTAACAGCACCCTCATCATCCTCTAGGTGTACAACATTCAGTAACAAGCATGCACAGAACAATGACCATAATCACAATTATGGATAATGATCGTCTATTCTCTTCTTTCCATCGGCCCGAAGATCCCTACCATGACCCAAAACGGTAAGCGGTCAGGTGATGCCATGCCTGTAGCTTCGAAAGTTCTGTTTTTCTGTCGGTAAAAGAACTGGCTCTACCACAGCTTCACACTGCTTACTCTTTCCCCCTTCAAAGCTCCATATTCCTTCTTCCGTCTCTGAAATATCCCTCATTCATCATGTTCCAAAGAACTTTCCTCAGACAGGCCCAGGCCGCCAAGTCCATTGTCTCTCTCCGCGCCACATCTACCACACCTTCAGTCATCCGCCGCACGTCACAGTTGCAACCACAGCTGCAGTCTGTTCGGCCGTTTGTTCGTCAGCCGACTTACCGCTTCTACTCAACAGAGAACCAAACTCAGAACGCTGAGAAGGCCGAGGCCAAGGAGAATGAAGCTGCTGAGGAATCCTCAGAGGAGAGCCTCCGCAAGGAACTGGAGGCAAAGCAGAAGGAAATCGTGGATCTGAAGGTATTAATCACTATTTGTGGTTGGTGGAACATTCGCCGTTGGGATGAAAGCCAGCCCATGTTTGCAGTTGCTAATTTGCATATAGGACAAATACATGCGTTCCGTTGCAGACTTCCTCAACCTGCAAGAACGCACCAAGCGTGAGATGGAGAATGCCCGGAACTTCGCCATTCAGCGGTTCGCCGTCGACTTGCTCGAGAGCATTGACAACTTCGACCGGGCTCTCCTTGCTGTTCCCGCCGAGAAGCTCAAGGCCGAAGTGACCGAGTCCAACAAGGAGCTGATGGACCTCGTGTCCGGCCTGCGGATGACCCAGAACATTCTGCTGAACACTCTGAAGAAGCACGGTCTGGAGAGATTCGACCCCAGTGAGCCCGCTGAGGACGGCAAGCCCCAGAAGTTCGACCCCAACGTTCATGAGGCCACGTTCATGACCAAGGTCGAGGGTAGAGAGGATGGCGAGATCATCCACACACAGACCACGGGCTTCAAGCTCAATGGCAGAGTTTTGAGAGTAAGTCATTCTTCAATCGATCAATCTTGTCCCGAGGTCTAACCAGTGGCTTCACAGGCTGCCAAGGTCGGCGTTGTCAAGAACAACTAGACGACAAACTTGAACCATCACGACATCCTGCTATGCTTGACTCGCCTGGCTGCGTCTATGCCCCACCTGCCGCCTCTCTTCTTTTCACATCTTTTCCTTGTACAATATACGACATGTCTTTCTCGTCATGATGGGGTAATGCATTCATCGTCCTTCGATAAGGGCATAAGCTATTTTGTTTAGGATTTTCTTCATGCGACTGGAGGCGTCCGGGTTGTCTTCCCGTCGTATGGGCTTTTGATTTTCGTTCCACAAATCTCTCCTCCTTATTGTATACTACTCACAGTCAGCGGCATGTTTTCCGCTTTCATACACCCTTGAAAAGGGCAATGTCGTCTTTGGAAGTCTGGCTTTGGATGTGAATGACCATGTTGCATGGACTTGATTCATCTCGCCCTGGTAATACGGGCGGGTGCCAGCCTAGAAGAAAATGGAAAATCTAATGACCAAGATGAGGTTCGGTATCATTTTGTTAAGAGTAATATACAATATGTATGGACCTTGGAGACGTAGTAATTCTATAACATAATACAGGGTGATTTGATTTCTCATGGCCGCTACCGCAACTCGACGCCCAACTGGCCGACGAGCTTTTCGCGTAGTTTCTCATGCAACCCATTCGTCTCTTCGTTGGTCAGCGTGCGCTCCAAACTCCTGTAGTTGATCCGGTAGCACATGCTCTTCCTTCCCGTCTTGGGATGGGTGAATTCATCGATGAGCCGGACATCTTCGACGAGATCCCCCGCCACGCCGCGGACAATCTCCATGATATCGTTCTCGTGGATGGGCACGGCACCACCCGCCGCGCTGCCCCCGCTCACGGCCGCCGACGGCAACCAGAACGCCACATCCTTGTAGCAGGCGGGATGCTTGGAGAAGGGCTCGAAGCGGGTGATCTGGCCGGCCTTGAACTGCGACAGGAAGCGCTCGTCGCGGGACCAGAACAGCCGGATGTCGGGGATGTTGAAGAGCAGCATGGCGATGCGCTCGAGGCCCAGCCCGAAGGCCCACCCGATGCGGTCCGGCACGTCCGAGTTGATGAGCAGGTCTTGCTTGATGACGCCGCAGCCTAGGATCTCGAGCCAGTCGCCTTGCCAGAAGACTTCGAGTTCCCAGGACGGGCTGGTGAAGGGGAAGTAGGCTTCCACCCAGCGGACCTTGAGAGGTTCGGCTTGCGCGGCCGGGTCTGCGGCGGCGGTGGCCTTGCGGGCCTCGCTGAAGATCTTGATGACCATGCGCTCGAGCGAGCGCTTGAGGTGCGCCGCGACGGCCTCGACTTCCTCGGCGGCGTGGTGCTCGGCCTGGAGCGGGTTGCGCTCGACGTGGATGGTCGGGTTGGGGTCCTCGACGGGGACGCCGTGCGCGGGGATGCGGTTCACGTCTTCCATGATGGCTGCGGCGGTGCGCGCGGCGTGCTTGAGCGGGTCCGTCGCCGGGCGCTTCCACAGCATGGCGCCCTCCATCTGGTGGAAGACCGGGTAGTGGCTGCGGTCGATCGCATCGCGCCGGTACACGTCCGCGACCACCGTGTACCCTACCTCCTCCGGGCGGGTGGCCTCGTTGCGGTTGATCTGCTGGAAGTAGGCTTGCTGATGGGCGCTGGTGTGTGTTCGGAGCACGGTCTTGTCGTTGATGTAGTATGTATCCGTCCGGCTGCGGCCCGGGTGGTCCGGCGCGAACCCCAGGACATCGAAGTTCTGCGCAACTGATACGACGGGGTTCTTCTCCGAGTAGTTACCGTATACCGGGCCTGGGAATTGGCTTTCGATCAGTTTGCGAGTGATTGCAAGAGGGTGGTTCTCGTCGAGGTAGAGCCGACGTCCAACGTGGGACAGTATTGTGTCTGGGGTGTTGGTCCATTGGTCTGTACGGTAGGTCTGGCCTTCAATGGTCAATGACTGCGAAGGTGATGGACCAGCCGTAGCTTTCTGCTTTGTCTCTGGCTTTTCTTCTGTCATCCGGTTCGCTGTCGAGCTCAGATTTCTCCTCGTAACGGTGACGGTGAGAGGCTCGATGAGATGCGAGGTCGATATCCGAGGGCTCCTCCTAGGGGTCACGACAGACCATCTGCCACTGCTGGCCCGTAGCGCTCTGCCGGTCGCCAACAAACGCATGTCTTTTATTTAGTGTCCGATGGATCACTAGCAGACGACTGTGATATGATAGCAGTCGGGTGCGGAGATTGAAGCTGGAAATCAACAATTCGGGCCGGGGAAAAGAGTCGCCGGTGTTTATACGGGTACATCTGGGAGTGCTTCGCTTTTGCCTGCGAATTATTTTTCCCATTATTCACAAAGATGGCTCTCGCTGTAGAATTACGAGTTCATCTTAAATGTGGATTTCGAATGACTATATATTCCTCGGAATCGTTTATCTCATCAATCTTGCCTAGATGTCGGCAGGGGTCAAGAATATATAGTTCGCATAAAGCAAGTCATGGTCAAACTGCCTGAACATTGTGGTAACTGTGCCTAAATATGAATGATTTCAAGTCATCGCGACCTCGCGATACATCATATCGGTTCTCAAGGTATATTTGACCCCTCGAAATACTGGGTCCCCAGCATGAAGCAAGTGGTACTGCTGAAAAACCAACGCTGACCCTGTCTTAGGAAACACTCGAAGTATACCATCTCCCTGCTTATAACTCGTACTGAAGGATGTTGCTCCTCCTAGGAGCTTACCATCAGGATTCATATTGACGCTGGCCTCAGGACCTATCTCCGCCTTCTTACTCACTTGCATCAACTCCTCCAGATCCTGCTCTCCATCGCCGTTCAGATACAGATGCAGAGTGTAAAAGGACTCCTCCTCCTCATCCAATGTGATGTAGTTTGAATCCCAGTGAGGGCGAAAGTATTCACCACCCTCGTATTTCAGGAACCGCAGTTTTTCATTCAGCCGCGAGAGCCTGTATGCCTTGCCTCGTCCTTCGAGACCGGTCACGAGCGGCTGATTGTTGATGTGATCAACCCCTTCTTCCTTCAGAAATGGCATCAGTCGAGCGAGCAGTTTGTCTGCTAACCCAGGGGTATCGACAATGATTCTCCCACACTTGCGTTGATCTGTAGCAAGTATTCCCCCGCCTCCGGTGTTGATCATCGCGCGACCCCATGTTGGAGTGCCAGAAGTATCCTTCACAGTCGAGGCTTCTGCAATGGGAAGCAACTGTTTGCATTCTTCTTCCGTCAGGAGGTTGTCGATAACGACAGCATTATAATCCTTGTACTGAGGGATAGGGGGATCTGTATTGAGAAAACTGATCCGCCGAACAGTGGCATTGGCCGGAGCCTGGGGCGAAAGAAAATCTTCAGGTACGCTGGATGACCCCATAGTGGCTCAATGGCGGGCTTATACGTTATTAGCCTTATCGACTGTGGACGGAATTGTCGCTTACCTTCCGTCATCTACAATGATTTTGTCTAGAGAAGTATGGCAGGCCTCTGGCTTTGATGGCTGCGGTATTTTAAGAGGTCTACCAGGGCCTTATGTACTGCAGCCTGATCCCAGGTGCCTTGCGATTGAGCATTGGATCCATGTCATGCTGGGTACTCCTCACGAGGCTACCTGAGCTGGCTGATGCGTTATTGGTCGCTGAGATGCAGTAGCCACAATCCGTAGTCGTCCAGGATATACCCCAGATCCTTGTAGAATCTCAGCGGTAATATGTCTCTACCTTATCGAAGATGATATGTTCCATTTCATCGAATTTGTCCGTGCCTATTCCTTGGGCCGTACGTAGTATGGTTCTGAGATAACTCGGGATTTGCTCGGACAGCTCCTCGAATCACTTACGCATCAATTTCACAGACTTATGTACTTTGGTTCTCGAGGTGCAATGAATAAATGTGAGAGGAACTTTACATTTAATTACGATGCCCATGACAATCTTGACATTGTAGAATCAAAGTCAGTCATCATATGCAATGAAAGTACTGTACTTGTGATGCAAAGCCCCATACGTCAGATATAGATCACGGTACGCCAGTTGGTGGTCACTGTCCTTATCCGAGGTGTTAGATTACAACGCCGCTTTTACCAGTACTTTGCAGTCGCGCAAGGCATTCCTCTGCCTTAAATGGCCAGCTAATCATTTGATAAAATTCTTAACAAATTTAGGTGTCTCTATAGTCTCCATTTCAAAAGTATGGCCGACATCGACCGACTATCGCCTTGTGTATCGGCTATTACAACTTCATGCGGATTGAAATACAGTAATATTACTTGTTATTACATCGAACGTGCATGACACCCTCTCAAAACCGAGGCTCTGATTGGCTGAGAGGACCCGGGATCGGTTGGCATTGCCGAAGCACGCAGGGCTCGGAGGCTTGATCTATCGCCGACTCAGAATTTATCTAAGGCCCCCTCTGGCTGACAGAGGTAGTCTTACGAATTACGACTTATCGCGGCCATTCACATTGCTGTCTCGGTGATAGGGCACCACCACTCTCCGCTCTTTCTTTTTCTTTTTGATCTATGGCTGGAATGTCCACACCTTGTTGATCAAGATGGCTGGAAGTGGAAAGTTGGAGGAATCTCAGCAGCCCGCGAGGGCTGTTGTCAAAAAAGTGCATTATCCTTTTTGGTTTGGTGGTTCTGCATCATGCTTTGCTGCAATGGTCACACATCCTTTGGATCTTGGTGAGTATATTTCGCATTGGCTCGTTTGAAGTATTCTGGAGGGCTTTAACTGACATTGAACTTGCAGTAAAGGTACACCTCCTTATAGTCTGCGCGCAACGCTCATCTCAGCCGTCCCCTTCCGCTTTGTGTACACAACGCTGATCGATGCGCCGATGAACTACAGGTTCGCTTGCAAACACGTGGGCCAGGAGCGCCTACGTCGATGATTGGAACATTTGGTCATATTCTCAAGCATAATGGAGTCCTGGGGTTGTATAGTGGGGTATGTACAATATCTGCATGGATCGTGATTAGGAAGACGCAAAGAAGAAAGTCTCCATGGATCTCGCTCACATCTGCGCCCTTTTGTAGCTCTCTGCGGCCATCCTCCGCCAAATAACCTACTCTACCACCCGCTTCGGAATCTACGAAGAGCTCAAATCCCGCTTCACCTCGTCCTCGTCACCACCCGGACTTCCCACCCTCGTCGCAATCGCCTGCGCATCAGGCTTCATCGGCGGGTTTGCAGGAAACCCGGCCGACGTCCTGAACGTGCGCATGCAGCACGACGCGGCGCTGCCCCCGGCGCAACGGCGCAACTACAAGAATGCACTCCATGGATTGATGCAGATGACTCGCACCGAGGGCGCGGCGAGTCTCTTCCGCGGCGTGTGGCCTAATTCAACCCGTGCCGTGTTGATGACAGCCTCGCAACTTGCCTCATACGATTCCTTCAAGCGTCTCTGTCTCGAGAAGCTGGGAATGTCGGATAACCTCGTCACGCATTTCACCGCGTCCCTGATGGCCGGATTCGTGGCCACAACCGTCTGCAGTCCCGTCGATGTCATCAAAACCCGCGTGATGACCGCACCACCGACGCAGACCCGGGGCCACAGCCTCCTGGGCTTGTTACGAGATATCTACCGCAAGGAGGGCTTCGCGTGGGCCTTCCGCGGGTGGGTGCCTAGCTTTATCCGGCTGGGTCCTCATACCATTGCCACGTTTATCTTCTTGGAAGAACATAAGAAGCTCTACCGAGCGTTGAAGGGGATTTCGGGGGATAACACCATCAAAGTATAGACTTCTCTTCTTTTCGCAGCATATTGTTTTTGGGGGTTCGTTTCTACATAGACTTCATGTACATGGCATCTGGCGAAACATATTGGGAGGGCAAAAGTCGTGTTCAATGCTGTACATAATCATATATATGTCCATGTCTTGTCATTTCGCTTGTTGTGTCTTCCACCCGTCGATACTGGCTGTGGTTGCGGTGTGTTGGATGACCTCACTGAGATACCTTCAAACACTGTCTTGAGATTTGACCAGCTACTTCTATGTGCGGAGAGAGGGAAGGTATAACCGAATTCATTCTTGTATCTATCGACCGCCACTGTAAGAAAATAATATCTACTGCCGGAGGAAATATATGTCAAAGGGAAAAAAGAAAATTACAACATCAGCGTCATCCCTGGGAACTCAAGCACAGATGACACGATGCTGGCTATAGGATTGATATACGGGTGTTACCTTAAAGATAGGAAATGCACACAAACGGCTCTTCAACTAGGGCCTATATACATCGATTTCTCTGGCTCCCTCATACGAAAAAGACCTCACAAAGAAGAGGATTTGTATTCCCGGTCTGATCGTGTAGAGTACATGTTTGACACCAAAAATATTCAACAGCTAATCGACAAGGACTAAAATCATCTACTCCAGACGAGCAGGGAAGTTTCCAGCCTCTGTAATACCAATACGTTAGACCACATTCCTCCCAAGGAAAGAAAAAGTACGCACCGCGTTGGTTATCCCATCTGTCAGTCCAGGCCTTGGGGCACAGGGAGCGGAAAGCGTGGTAGAACTGTGATGCACGAGTCAGGACATTAATCCTACTTGGTTTTCTTTACTCCAGCAATTGAAATAAATACCTGACGGCATGGGCGGAAATCCTCGCCCTTGGCGTTGACACACTTGTAGTAGTCAACGTAGTTCTGCCAGCAGTGCTTGGTCCTGAGGTTGGTATTAGCATTGTATCAAAGCCGGTGTTGATAGAAGAACGAGACGTACTGGTTCTGCTGGGGGAAGCGAGCGTCATAGCCTGTCGTTGCATCACAAATGGTCAGCATCATACGAGGTAGCACCAGCGACGAAAACCTGGACCAAAGCGGCACAACAGGCGAGCAAACAATCAATATCCTAAATTCAACGTACCAGCTGCAAGTAAGTTAGCAATTGAGCTTAATTCGAGGCCATTGGCCCTGCAGACAGCTTGGGATGGACTCACCTGTCACGAACTTGAAGGGCTTGGTCTCCATGGGCTCATCGGGATCGGCTTCAGGAATGGCACCCATTTTGAATATGTGAGCTCAAATAAACCTTTGCACTGGTTATGGAAAACGGAGACGGAGTGTGGAGGGTGGGAGGGGAGGAACGTCGTTCGGAGAAGGAAGATGGGGAGGTTTGCGCCAGTGGAGTGGAATGATCCCGTGAAGCTGTGAAGCCGGAAGTGACCGCGGGCGGTCTAGCGAGCCACTCATGCGGCAAGATTTCCTAAACACCCGAACCAGCCCAGTCCAAGTGCTGCTCCCTTCGAAACGTCCCGTCCTGAGCTTCCGTCACCACATCCGGTCTTCTCATCCCACCACCACCACCACTACTCTTTCCACCAGGCATCGCTCTCGCCATCGCCATGTACCCTACTCGTGCTCTGAGGATGCAGGCCTCTCGGCCTTTTGCTTTCCCTACTCCTGTAAGTCTCCAGTTTATTGCGACTAGGTCAGAAAAAAAGGCTTGGCAGACCACGGATGCTAATGGTCGTCTGCAGAAGGAGAACCAGAGCGGTATGACACGCCTCACGAGACGCAATTGAAGCAGCAATTGCTGTACTTGACGGACTGTGATTGTACTAATTGATCGGTAGCTCACACCATCTCTCAGCGTCTGCGGACCCTGAAGAGAGTCCCCCCGGAACTGATTCCCCTCGGTACGTTGCTAGTCTGGAGTTGATCGCTTTATTTGCACTCATCTAACCACTGTTGCGATTCGAATAGGTATTGTCCTTGGGTAGGTTGACACCACGCCGTTTCTATCTATAAGAGACATGGATTTCCCACCTGCCAGCCCCATCATTTCCGCTGACGCAATTGTTACAGTGTTGCCGTCGGCGCTGCTATCTACTCTAGCACCCGCAAGCTCATGACCGACAAGACTCTGCGTCTCTACCGCAATAAGCCCGAGGACCGCGAACACTAAGCATGTACCAGCACGTTTGATTGATTTGCAAATGGACATTTCGTTCTGTCTGTCCGTTTGTTGAGGACCTGTATTATTCACAGAGTGATTTGTCGCAGCAGAGAAAATTGAAGTCGATTGTTTGAGCGTCGAAAGCGCGTGTATATAGTACGGCTTTGACCCAAGAGGGGGACTCTGTCGGAGTAGCATCGCAACTTTACTGTTGTCTGGCTTCCTTGTGCATTCAAATTTCGCGGGGTATCATGTAAGAAAAAACTCATTCTGGCTTTGGGCCAGCGACATCCAGCTCCTCTAATCCCTGCATGGGATCAGGAGCGCCTTCGCTTGCTGCTCTGGCCTCCGCTGCTGCCATCTTATCCTCCTCACTGACCGCGTATTTGGCCAAATATCCTTCCTGTACACCCGTAGTTAGCGACAACGTCCGTGTAAGATCGGGTCAAAGTGACCTACCTGCT